TTGGCTCAAGCTCATGACTTACCGACCGAATGCAGCAAGGTCCGTGCGTCATGAAGAAGAGCCATGTGTTCTACCTTCCGGCCTAACCTACATCAGTCAATAAGCATTTCATTATATGACTACCAAGTATTGGAAATTTCGAAAATTTTGTTTTAACTTTGATAGAAAGCGATAGACTGGCCCGCACGGGAAAACCACAAAAATTATTCGTTAATAATTACTTTTCCATCATTTTCTCGAGCGAGTACAAGAAACTCACAATTCATGGAAACACGTGAAACACTTCACTTGCCTTTCGTGCCATCGGTCAGGTTGATGAATGAACGGCAAAGCCTTTACGATTCTCAATACGAGGTAGTTTGTCGGAACTTTCTCGGATTATGGCGGCTAAAGAAAGAAAGAAATCTAAGCTACAAATGTACAAATCTAATCCGTATTGCTCACAGAAAGTGACGTTCAAACTTTCCTAGAAGAGGAAGAAAACCAATGTATGAAAAGAAAAACCAAAAGTTCGGTATTCAGTGGCCTTTGGTAATAGTGTTTCTAGCGGCTGAGAACGAAAAGCGACAACTGAAAGATTAGCCATTGACCGATTTTGGCTGTTTAGACTTCTGTAAAGGCTTCTGTAAAGGCTTCTTTAAAGACTTCTGTCGGTAAGGACAAAGTCAATGAATGAGAATTTTGTAAATTGAAAATTACACCCATTGTTGCTTTTGAGCCTTGTCGATTCTTTTATTTTCATTCATTGATGAACTTTGCTTTTCTTGTCACCAAAGAGCAATTGTGTTTATATGATAAACAAAATAATACATAGTTGCTTGTAGATATGGACTTTCTCTTGAAGTCTTCGACTCGACATCTCACTCGCTCGCTGCGCTCACTCGTGCATTAGCTATCGAGTTGAATACTCGAAGAGAAAGTCCACATCTATGCGCGCCCATGTATTCTCTATTTATCTTTATTCTTTTAGAAAATGAAAGGCACAGAAAGTCAATATGGCGTAATGATGTGTCTCTTTTCTTAGTAAAGAAGTTTTCAGTCGGCGTGGACAACTACTGTTATATTTTCTATTGGGGTTTCTATACATTTGGGGCTTGGCCCTTCAGTGCAAAGTTAAGTTCTTTACATATGCTGCAAAGTTTTTATGTACTGCGCACTAAACATATGGAAAGCTTTGAATTATGACCCTTTTTGTTTATGTAAACGGAGCACCTTTCTACTAGTACGCACCTAAGTGCTACGTATCTCATGGAAATTTTTTCCATTTTCATTTTATATCTCTTTTTTCTTTTTTTTAGGTGATAAGCAGTCTTCAAGAACTTTTGTCACAAGCCCAAGGCTTCAGATGTTCTACTTATGCATCTTGCCTTCTAGGTATGCTATTATTTAGTTCAGAGCATCGAAGGACTTTGTTGAGTAGGTGAGCTTGCGAAAACGTCGAAATACAGTGTTTGTGTTATCAACTATCCGAGCTGATGACTTCGTAACTCCTTCCTTTCTCGGTCGATCCTTATCTTTTATAGGCACAGCGTTTTAATCACGCAGATTTTACGAATTATCTTTTGTTTATAGAACTGTTTCTCAACTATGATGCAGAATGAATGAAAAATACATATATTTCATTACAAATCCATCTTATTTTGACAGAGAATGAAGAGGTATCAGATGAAATCGCAGTTATTACTTTGAATGATAAGGTAATACTGAAGTATAAATTTGTATTGAATGTCTAATTTTAACATGATTGATCGTATTCGGTTGCTTTACCTCTGCTTTTGGCTGATGGATTAGGGACGAAGGGTGTACAGTGTGAGGTAAATGCAACATTAACTGGCCAAGAGCAGAAAAGTTGCTTCACGTGGAATAAATTCTTCCCATTCCACTAGCACTGTGTAGCCACTATCCAACGGAAGAAGTTATCTACGTAAACCTACCTTGACTTTTGCTTGCCGGAAAAAAAGTGATTTAGTTGTATCTTCATAATAATCTATCAAACGTCGACGCTTTACTTGACGGCTTGAAGTATTACGACGCAGCTGTTAAAAAATGAGCTTTGTTCCACGTTGTTGTCCTATCTTAAATTATCAGTATGCACAAGTGATATCTAGAAGCCTATTGAGTCACCATGGTAATTAGCTGAAGAACGATTTAGCAATCAGATAGCTCTACACTATGTATACGCAATGTTGTTTTCTCCAACAACCTTCATCCGTTGGATCACCGTTTTAAGGAATGGCATATTTATACGCTGTCTGGCTTGTCTGGTGCATGAAATGTCCTGTGAAACTACGCAAACACTTGGAAGATTAGTCTATTAATTGAATCGGTAGGGGTCTCAAAAGAAATGAATGAGAGCAACGGCAATGCTTGACTTCTATCAGCTTTTTAGGTGAGCGAATAAAGCAAAGGCCCAGAATTGTTTTAATAAATGAGGAAATAAATAACCCACTAATGAGCTACACTACAACAAAGCGTAAATTTACAATATCATTTATCTGCTCTCAATACATTCCAGTTTTGATTAATTTACTTTCAGCCTGCTAGGTCGACATCTCAGTTTCTAGAATAGCGTCAATGAGCTGATAAGCTCAGTCAGACCAAAACTGGCTTATTAATGAATCTCTTTCTGCTTTCTTCATTTAGCCACTCAGTAAGCGATTGGAATACTATTTTTCTGACTATTCGCTGACGACTAAGAAGCCGCAGGTTACTTCATTTCCACCAGATTTTAATCCGATACCTTGCAAGCCCCTGTTCTTTGACCTGGCTCTCAATCAAGTCAAGTTCCCGTCATTAGCTCACAGAGTAGAGGAAAAGAAAAGTGGCGGACTAGCTGGATATTTCAAGGGTTGGCTGTGGGGCTCTGGACCTTAAATAACTGTTTGAGATGAACTAAATGTTCGGTCAATTTTGAGCACAACTGTAGTTTAGTCTATTTTCAGTAGCTTGGGTTAAAACTAAGGCACTTTGTGTTGAGAATATTTCACAGAGTGTGTATGAATAGTTCGAACCAACTTTTGCACCCTGAATGCTGCAAAGATTTACGATGTAAATCACCAAATGGAGCACCACGAAATGTAATCTGCCGGAGATTTATTAACCTTGGACGCCAAATACAGTTCTAGTGAATTATAATCGTTTTTGCCGAAGTTTCAGCTACATACTGCTAGTCTTTGTCAAGCAGCGAAACGCCTGCAGGCGTTCACACGGGAGTTTGTGTCTACCAGTGGATTGCAATATTCGGATCTAAGGTTTTAATAAACGCTCATTACGGTCAACAATTGTCAAGGAGTCCCTATAAATAACAGAGTCAAGTTCATGGAATGAATCTACTGAATAGGACAACTTGCCTAGATTGGCTGTTACTGTTCCCTGATAGTACAGGTAATTTGTTGTCTTATCGTGATATATATTCGCATAAATGATATGTGCTTCTTTGTTTGTGATAACGCAATTAGTAAGGCTTCGCTGTGAAAAAAAACAGAACAATTACCTTCCCCTGTATTGTAGGTTCAAGCTTTGAGGAACTTGTAACATTTGCATAGCTAATCCTTTGAACAGAAAATGATAGATTCACATTAAGTTTGCCTGGATCACATTTCAGAGTCGATATGCGAATTTGTCTGTTAACTGGTGACAAAAACCAAGAAAAAAAATGACCAGGCAATATTTCGCGGAGAATTATTTTATTCAAAGTGGTGCTAGCTTTGCCTTTGCGCGCGAAAAACTTACAAATTTCTTGCCTTTACAAGACCCACAAAAAGGGGTTCATACTACTTGGATCCTTGTGTACAAGACTTCACCAGAGATTTGCGTTGCATCGCGTTGAAAACTTTGCAACTGTCAAGGAGATACTCGGTTAAATAATACTTTATGGAGGTATCAACACTGTAAAATGATATTATCCCACTACGGAATAGTTAACGTTGCCATAGCCTGAGTTGGCGTTTATTTTCAAGCCATAACTCAAATGTCTTTTCTAGAATCGAATTAAGGGCTAAGCACTTAAGAGAGGATGTCAGCATCCATCGAACAAATTTGAAAAATAGTGGCAAGTCGACCAATATTCGTTTTCTCTCCTACTATCATATTTTGTAGCCCAATATGTCCTAATGATTGTGGTGTAGTTTTTTTGTAAAAATATATTTTAGTTTTCGAGAAATTTTTTTCGTTCGACTGCTCAAATACGTAAATTTTCACCGTGAATATTACCCGGGTTGTGTGACCTCGTGTAACGAATACACTCGACCTCTGGTATTTCTGTCAACATAATCCTTCGTTTTATCATCTAAACGTAATCCCCTGACATTATTGAAGCTGGCAAAGAAATATTAATTTTTTTTTGGTGAATATTTTTGTCCGACATACTTTTCCTGTGTCGAAAAGTAGTATCAAAACAAAGACGGTTTCAACAATGACCGATATGACAGAATCTACTGAGCTTCTAGCTTTTAAAAGACAAAAGGATGGTTATGAAGTTACTGTAAAAATTTCTTTGTGTTGCTCTATCTTGAGACGAACTTAAAGTCAGGCGAAATTTACTTGCTAGCGACCATGAAATATACATGGTGCGCCTACTTGTCGCCACCGTCTACTGGCATCAATCACTACAATTTGTAAAAAAATCTAACATAACACTCTTACGTTGTTTATGTATGATTTTATGAGCTGTTTCGATTATTATATTACGTCTGGGTATTACTTTTTTCCAACAGAAGCCCAGGTTTTGAGTTGTGTTCTCCCCTCCCCCATTTACATTATAAGCTTGTCACGCAATAATTGATACCGACACAAACGAATATTTACCCTGTATAAAGATTTTTGTTTATGTTGAATTGAAAATATTAGAATGTGGGCTTTTTGTGGTCACTAATCGTTGTTTCAGTGGCAGCGAAGCAGTTAAAAGCAGGTTGTTGCTTCAACGCTATTGAAATTTATAGTATACAGACAGGAGAGCAAAGCGTGATGCTCTGGGAATAAAATGTTACATGATATCGGGATGAGCTCTGTTCAAGAACGAGTTCATTCTGGTGTCCTAGCGGATTTGGACCCCCCGGTCCAAATCCGCTAGCGGATATGGACC